CCTTTCGTCACTCATATCACATCACTTTCTTCCCATTGCCTACTAACGAACTAACTTGTGTTTTTGATATCTTGCAATAACATTCCAAAACTTGCAAAATTCTTCTAATAAGAAAAAGTCACGCAAGTACCTATTGAATTTAGATAGATATCGAGCATGCTTAAACGTTTAATATCTTTTAACTTTTTGAATGGAAAGAAATTTCGGTAGTGTAAGTACCAAGTATTATGTAAAAAAAAAAAGTTATGCAAGTTTTTGTTTTTTACAAATATCAAATCCGCATTCCAAAACGGTCTACATGTTTCGTTGGTCCCTTTATTTTGGTAAAATTTTGAGATTCAGTCCCTACATTTATTTCTTAATTCAGAATTGTTGGCATGCACTGTAGGTACGTCCAAGCATCAAGCGTCTAAAGCGACATGCTGTGGAGTTTGTCAATGGCAAAACTGAAAACTTTGATGCAATCATCTTTGCAACTGGTTATAAGAGCAACGTACCCTCTTGGCTAAAGGTATATACTGTATTACCCTTTCATCTTTCTTTTCTCCACTACTTTGTTTCTTCCTATCTATTATATATTGTCTTAATTCTTAAAGGTCAAATTCAGATTTTGATCCCTTTATCATGCTCAAATTAGGGATTTGATCCCTATACTTTTTAATATAGCATAATGTGTTCCTTTACTTTTATAATATCATTAATTAGTTCAAATAGTTAACATCATTAACGAGTCTGGTTAAAATGTTTATTTGGTTTTTTAAGAAAACATGTCAGTAGTTAACCAGAAATGTTAACGATGTTAAAGTATTTGAACTGGCTAATGATATAATAAAGTAGAGATCAAATTTTTATCGAATTAAACTGAACCACAAGTGGAGTGACAAAGGACTTGTGTTCAACTCTTCCATACCACTAATCTGGATTTGATCCCCGGACAACCCCATAGGAATTATATCTTGAATTTGAACATAGTAAAGGGATCAAACCATAATTTGACCATTGTTTAAAGAGAGAGAAAAGAAAGAAAGAAAAAGGCTAAAGAAATGAGAGGAAATGGAAATTGACAGGAAAGGAAGATGTTCTCAGAGAAAGATGGGTACCCTCGAAGGCCATTCCCTAATGGGTGGAAAGGTGAGTGTGGGCTATACGCCGTGGGGTTCACTAAACGTGGCTTGCTTGGTACTTCAATGGACGCTCTGAGGATTGCAGAAGATATCCAACGGTGCTGGAAACAAGAATCAAAGCATCACTACTTTTGGCACCAATCATCATCACCGTGATTGAGAACAATTTTGTTGCCTTTTTGTTTCTTGGGGTTTGAAATTCAGTGACATACAGATTTTTGGTTGAAGATGAAGATATATACACTAATATATATATTAATATATATATATATATATATATATATATATATATATATACATATAACACCACACATGAACCAGCGGCAGTGGAATTTTGGGTTAAAAAAACAAAGGTGGGAGAGAGTTTTCTCAGTGAACCCTTAACTTCTTTACCAGAGATAGAAAAGAAAGGGTTGGTGTTGTTTGGATCATGGAAAAATCTCAGACTATTTGTAAATTACCATTTTTCTCTAATTAGGGTTGTTTGATATTTGTTATGCAGATCAAATGACTGTGCTCTTTTAACCTATATTTTCCAATGGGATCTTTGGAATATTGAAGAGTTAATTAATTATAGAAATCTTCTCTTTTTTTGGTGGTTTGTAGAGTGAATCTGAATGTTGTTGATTGAAAGCTAGCAAGAATCTAGATCATGTTCTTTGTTGTTTTTATTTTGGTTGTTTTGAGGCAATATCACTGTCAAAATGATTTCATTCCATGTAGAAACGTTGGACCACTCTATTTTTGATCCGAGACACTTGCTTTTAACTATGAAAATATTGATGCAGTAGTTAAATACATTTATATAATTATATATTAATTTTTAATAATCATATATTAATTTTTATTAATCATATATTTTATTAATTTAATCTTAATTTTAATCTAATTTAATAAATTTAAAATAAAATGAAACAAGAAATGAAAAAGGAGGGAATCAAATAGAGAGGGGTGTTAGAGAACTAACCACTTAATCAAGTCCATCACTTGGTTAAAGATTGACAAGGACCAAATGTGTATTATATAAATTTGTTTAACTGACGCATCAATCTTTTTGTTAATGATTAATAGTTAATGGTAAGTGACTTGAATCACGTAATTGATAAAAATTTTAGTTTAATAATCAAAATAGAATCATTCTATAATTTAATGAGTATACATATAGCTTATCCTATAACTTTAGTTTAGTGACTTAAAGGGTGAGTATTCTGTTGAGTTGAATGGAAAAAAATTGAGTTAGTCAAGTTGACGTGTACTAATTTTATTTGAATTTTTTATTGAGTTGAGTTTATGAAATTTGAGTCAAATCGAATATGTTTATTAGAGTTTTTGTTTAAATTTAAATGTAAACTACCTATCGAGTTACCCACCTATTACTTAGTTCTTGTTTTGGCCACTAAACTATCATTTTTTTTCAAAATTATACCTAACGGTAGGTTTTTGTTCTATTTTAGTCACCCGCCGTTAAAAAATTAACAGTGATACTAACATTATAATTTTAATTATTTTTGAATGTTGATGTGATATCACCTTATATATAATATTTTGCTACGTGCTTCTGTATGCATGCATTTTTATGATGTAAAATCTAAAGGAGCATAGATCAAGGGTTTTTCTTGTGTCTCCTGTTGCTGTTGGAATGTTATGCAAAGTAGCTGAGATGGAGGGACAGGAGAGTACGTAGCAGTTGGATGGCCCATAAGATCCCCCAATGGCCATTTCTCCATTGGAGTAGCAGCTACCTTTGGGCCTTTCCATTTGCCACCAACTCTTCTTTTTTCACTGACCAACCCACCTTTACCACTGAGTTGCCCTCTCAACCAAAAAGATGATGCTGTGATGTGAGGAGTCGGGACCCTTTTAGTTCTATTTCACCGCCTTTATCATTTTTTCTCCATCTTAATACTCTTATTTTTTTTATATTTATCAAGTGGTGTCAGTTGTTAAAATGAGTGTTGTTATTCTTAGAGATCGTGAGGTCAAATTTTACATCTCGATTCACGATCTAAATAAAAAAAATGAACCGAAATTAATCATCACAGTCATCATTTCTCATATCGCACATCAACAATGCATTATTAGGATTCATACAATCATAACAAATAAAATCTTGTATGAATTGATTTCCCAAAGTGATCTTTAATTAGTTTCAAATGATGTGTGCATACCTATCAACTTTTCTCTTTTAAAAGTATCAATTAGCTTAACCGATGCAATCTAATTTAGTGGCTGTTTCCATATTTAGCTTGCTTGACATAGACATTTAATTAGCTGGCATTTGATTATATTAAACCAGTTTTATGTTCACTCGACCCATCCATTTATCAATCACAATCCTACCTAAACCCCTATAATTGGCCTAATTATAGATTCAGTACATTTACTAGATGAAATTTATAATTTAACCCCTATACTTTAATTCACATGTCCTTTCTTAGTAATTCTAAATCAATAACATCATTAACCGTTGTTTTTTCGTGATGGATTAAATTTTCTTTCTGGATCTATTAACACTATACAAAAATCAAATTATATCAAATAAAAACTTGAATGATATATAATATCAAAAGAAAATAATTATATATTTTAAATCATGATAGTTTTTTTGAAAGGGAGAGTTTTGCATGATTAAAACGACGGTTCATATTAAACAAGACGAAAAATATGAGTCTCGTTAAAAAACCTCTCTACATCTAATAGAGGGAAAAAATGATATGATATATCCGTAATATAAATAAAAATTAAATTTAAGATAATCATGTGTGAAATACTTAACCAACTAGGTAGAGTGGTCCTATATTGCTAAGGTGCTTATATCATCCACGAGCTTATGATAGGCAATTTCGTTACTTCCTTCCTTTAATTGTACTTACATATCCATGGAGGTGGGCAAATCAAGATCATACATTTATTTCATTCGATGTGTTAAAAGCAGTCTCTATTGTGGGTGGTCCATGAAAATTTATTATCCGAACGGTGTGATCTATACACATTTGGACCATTTCCCAAGCTCCTATAAATGGACTGCCAATTGATTGTTTTAGTCGACGATATGAGTTGCGTTTCCATTGGGTATTTTACTTAAAATTGTTCAAAATTGATTTTTTTTCATGGGATTTATAATTAATTTATTCACCATTGCGCTACCATTATTGACTATTGGTCTAAATTTATGTCATAGCCATGATAACTATTATATATTCAAATAAATATAATCAGAGTTAATAATTATAATGTATATGATTGAATTAATAATCTAAATATATCTAAAGTCGAGCAAGTTAATTTGATCAGCTTTGTTCCCTCATATTCCTATAGGTCATAGATTTTAGACCCACTAGGAACACTCACCTTCCTTCCCCTAGAGTCCCCCATTCCCCTCCCCTCCAAATATGATTAGGATTAGATTTAAATACATTCATGTTTAAACTTAAAATCTTAAACTTTGCTTGATATGAATTATGGAAATCAGAAATGATGAAAATTTTATTAATGAAATGGTTAAAATTCAAAGTAAGAAAATGGTTATGAATCTTAACCAATTGAACAACGAATATTTCATCCTTGCACTAAACAAAGCCTTCAAGTTGTTAGAGCTGTAATCGTATCATTAAGCCTTCAAACTATCAGTAATGTCCTTTTGTGCCCTTGACATGAGAATGTGTTAACAAAAAAGTGAATATAATAGTTAATAATAGGATCCGACTGAAATAATATTGATAATTCGAATATTCAAAATGTTTTAAAGTTTGTGCTCAATGGATACAATTTCACATTTGGTGCAAAATAGACACTTGATAAAGAGAATTATTAGTGGGGTTTATCAGGTGCTGGTGGAAAATTTGAGCAGTTCCTATCAAAGAAACTTAACTAAAACTGATGTTTCACCTTTGCAGATGAGAGCTAGTAGCCAAAGTAGTTGAATAATGCTGGCATCACAGGTATGACATGTAAATGTCAAGGTTTCATTTCTGAGATGGACGATTCATTAGTTGATCATCACAGAAAATTTATTATTCTTGTTCATCTTCACAAGTTCAATAAAATCTCCCACCGCCTTTCCCTCTTTTGATTGATTCATCAACAATGACATCTAATACCCAGCTTTCATTCTTTGATATCGATGGCTTAAATTGAATTATACCATAAAGACAACTATCAGTGTGCCTTCATCATATGATTCTGGATTTGGAAAACACTATTTCAAATTCGAGTCTTATAAATGAAAGAAATAATGTTGATTAAGCTCGTGTTTTGTTCAAAGATCTAATGCGACTTAATTCTAGATATAGTCAAGGTTTAATGAGACTATTGAATACGAGGGAGACTAGATCTAGAAAATATGAAAATGTTAATTTGGTTGGTTTTCGATTGGATCAATTTGAGTTGGTGGTACTTTTTCAAATTGTTTTATATTATAATTATTTCTAATTCAAATTAATTAAATTAAATTTTTGAGTTTAGATCATAGAAGAGTATATATCTAAAAATGATAGATGTTATGATGATTTTAAAATAACAATGACATCATAATGCTAATGCTATTTGTTTATCAGAAAATGATTGATGAAAGTAGACACCATTGCTGGTAAGAATTGGCAGAAGGAGAGAACTTGTAACATGTGTGAGAAGGACAAGACGAGGAAACGCGTGCATATAGATTGAAATTGACATATTGCAATCATCATTTGAAGAAGATGAATCATGTCACACTAATGGGAGAGAAAGAGGAGTTCATGCAAAACTCTGCTACTCTTCCCTCGATTAGGCAATATCTAGAATTAGGTTGTGGGAAAATTGGGACCGCCACTCTAAAAAATTAACAACTTGACCTTGCTAATGGTGTATAGGAAAAAAAATGAAATTGTGATGATTTTTAGTGGTCGATCTTTTTTTTTTTGTTTTAGATAGATAGTCGTAGAAAGTTATTTAGTGGAGGGATAAGAGCGAATGAACGAGAAAAAGAAAATTATAAACAATCTCGAAAGATTAAGAGAGAGAGAGAGAGATTCTTATTTTTCTAGCCTTGTATGATGATTTATATACAAGCCCTTAGTATTAGTGTCACGTTTAGGGTGATGACGATAATTTATAGCTTGACATAATAAATAGATACGACAATCAGATAGTATATTTGGTTGGTAGATTACGTAAGTCTGCAAGTAGTCACGTTAAAGGATTGTAATTGGTTGGAGGATATAGAACTCCGGAGAATTTGAGAGGTTTCAAGGTTCGATAAAGGAAGAAATGATAATAAAAGCGTGACTTGCGAAGAAAATAAAAAAAATAGACAACACTAAATAAATCTATATGAATAACATCATAAGAAACATACTATAATAAAAAAAATGTTCACAATTGTAATTTTAAATATTCGGTATGAGATGAAACTAGGTTTCATCTTCAAGTTGTTCTTTCATCTTGAAGAAGAGGCATCTTGTTACTTGGTCATTATTCAAGCAGGGGCGGATACTCTAAGTTTCATAGAGGGTCAAGTGCATCTCATTACTTTAAAAAAATTATGTTGAAGAAAAAAAAATTACATACCCATTATTTTTAAGAAAAAATATTAAAATTTTGAATCTATTATTAAATATTTAGGCCGTCGTGTGCTTGCATTAATTTATGTTCAGCCCTTTTGCATGGTATGCATTTTGCTGGTTCAAGTGGGGAGTTTCGAAAGTTCCATCTCATGGAAAGTCCTCGCAATTACTTTATTGGACACCTTTAAACTAAACCGACATGCACACATATCATATATGTGTGTATCAACTTCTCTTTGATTTGTGATTGGCTCCTCAACTTTCTATCAATTTATCGACAATCATGAATACGCTAAGACTCCTCCATCTGTATTTAGACAAGGACTCGCCATATCTGTTAAAGATTAAAAGCAAACAAAGCACCCAGTAAAGCCAAAGTACACTAAGCACTTTATTTAGTCACAAAATATTACGAGTTTCAAAAGTTTTCATTAAAATTTTTCATAATTTTTATGTTCGTTTTATACAACAGAAAAAAAATTTAAAAGAGCAAATTATCTGTATATAGTATATTTGATTTAACGAAATAAAATACGGATATACCGTATCAAGAATGATATGTACATTGTTTAGTTAAATGAAAGTTAGCATAATTTATCTAATGTTTTAGCGGTGGAAATTTAATATAGTTTGATGAAATTATAGATTCATAACTTGATGAAAATTAATTCACGTTTAATGACTTGAAATGTAAATTACCCAAGAAAACAATTCAATTATGTCATAACAAATTTCTCTCCCACACATCAATTGGACCCTAATGAATTTGGGTTCGTTCATGGCTACAAAAATCAGTTAATTTTCCTTTCTAGTTTTCTTCTCCTCCAATTATTTTTAACACTAAACCCACATAAACAAGAAGCCCAGACCCAACCCTAAACTGGAGCCCTAAGAACCCCACAGTTCTAGGGTTTTGCGACATCACTGAAGAAATGATATATATATATATTCAATTTATCAATAGATTATTTTAGAATAGTTTTTGTATGGATTCATTATGAGAGTGACTCTTTTAATGTAGTTTATTCTATTTATAAATATCAAGATTTAAACTCATAATCTTACTTAAAGAATTTAATGTCTATTGATATTTAACCATCATTGTTAATGAATTGTCTTTATTGGTATTGAATTTGGAGAGTTTTTTTTCTTATAAAAAAAACTCTAAACATTTGTTTTTTTTATAGGTAAAGGAACCGAAAAATATTGGAAAAGGTATTAAATTAATTTTCTAATTATAATTGAGAAATTAAATGAGATATTAACCCTTCATTTAATGTATTACATCATTATTTGATTAAGGATTTAATGGCTGTTAGTGTATGAAACATAATCTTTTAATAAATTTAGTGAATGTTTTGTAATTTTTTTAAAATTTGATGACTAAAATAAAAAAAAAATATTTTAGCAAATTTGGAATTTTCTTTGACTCTTCCTTTAGTGTTAATATTTTTAAAAAAAAATAAAAAATTATTAGTTTTTTTAATAAATAAGCAATATAATGTTACTATAATATTTTTTTAATCATTTCAATAATATCTTTCATTATTTTAACCCAAAAACCAAATAAACAAGAAGCCCAAACCCATTTCTGAAATGAAACCCTAAGAATCCATACTCAGAAATCAACATATGTATATTTGTTATATTAATCTAATTTTGCGTCTACACTTTCCCTTCGATTCCCCCATTGTTCTAGGTTTTTGTAGCATCACCGTCAGAAATGGTATTAAGGTCCCGTTTGGTTTACGGATTAAAACATTACTAGGAGGAATCTTTTTTTCCTGTTTAACTTACCAACGTTTGGATGGTTATTATTCCCAAGTGAGGCTAAACTTTGAATACCAACAGTAGTTTCCCCCCTGTTTTACTGGGAATGTTAATCCCCCAGCTCTCTTAGGTATTTGAACATTCTCGTCCTCCTTGACTAAAATACCCTTCTTCCCATTAGCTTGCTTCTGCGAAGGAAAACATTGCATCTTATTTGATTTGACGAGAGCTGTTGCATTCTTCCCGTTAACTTGCTTCTCCCTGTTAGTTTGCTTTAGAGTTTTACGGAGAGAGTTGTTGCATTCTTCTTCTTTGATTTCCCTTTTCTATCAGAAAAACAGAGGAAAGAAGTGATTTTTTGAGGTTTGGGTTTTTTTCATGTTGAATTTCAATAAAGTTTGAAACTTATTATCTTCTAGTTTAATTCCAGCATGCAATTAGTTCCAAAGCTGTATTTTGTTGTTAATTAAGCTAAATAAATTGTTTTTCTGTCTTTTACTTTTGACATCTCTTAATTGAATTTGTTGGATGTTTGGGTTTTTATTAATTTTCTTTTTAATTGTTAGTCATAATTTGTGCTCAAAAATTTGGGTTCGATTACACGACGATAATTTGGATAAGAAAACGGAGAAGATAGAACCTTTATTTGTTTGATTTCCTTGTAGCTATTTTTAATCACTTTACCGGAATGGATGCTTTGTTTTAGGGAGGTGGATGGTGTAATACCATTCGAAGTTATGTCTTCCGCAAAACTACTCGATGTGGTTCATCAAAATTTATGGAGAAGCAAATAAATTTCACTGGAATTTTGAGCTATAAAGCTGAAGAAAACACTGGTTTGTACTTATAGTCCCATATTAACCTTTTCTTTTTGAGCAAGTATTTATGTTGAATTTTTGAATGGGGCCTCTTGTGTTCCGCAGATTTCTACAACTGGAATAGAGTGAAGCTACGGTACTGTGATGGAGTATTTTTTGTTGGGAAGGACAGAATGAGGTACACAATAGTAGTATTAAGTATTAACCTTTTGCAGCATTTCCCTGAACTATATTTAAGTTGCTCACGACACAAATATCATAGTCTGTGTAAAATTCGATTCACTCGATGCTTATTTCGCTGAGAAAAAATAGATAGATGCTTATTTCCGGTTTTTAGCCTTAAAACTACTGTTGTTTTTCCGTTGTTTCCTTAGAAGCGATTGTTGAGAAAGATTTTTATAACTACTTAGTTTAAGAACAAATTTTTTTCTTTTGTAGCTTGTATTCTATTAACTTTTTACTATCTTAATATGGTGAAATATTCATGGTTAATCATAAGAAACAAAAGAATAATTTCTTACTTGACCAGCTAAGTACTTGCAGAGCACATAAGATTAAACTTTTATTTTTGATGTTAATAATTTCCAATTTTCAGCATCGATATAGTTTACTCGGGAGAATCTTGTGCTGATGCATGGATTGAAAAAGAGGTTTGAGATGACAACTAGTTGAGAATTTGAATTGTTCTGTTACTGGTTATTTAGCATATTTGGTTTCATATATATATAGGAGAATAAAAAGAATGGCTTGCATCATTTGTCATTATCCTTTTTTCAGTCACATTATAGTGAGGGTTTTACTTTACACTTTCTTCAATGATAAGTTATATTAAACTACAAATTGTGTTATTGGACAACAAGGAAAAAAGAAAGCAACAAATCATAGTTTTGATTAGCTTGAGAATCTTCTAGGATTATTATGAATGGATGGTACAGTATCATGTAATTAGTTAGACATGCAACATATCCTTCCTTCAACCTTCTTTTTTATATAAAAAACACTTTTTAATGTTGAGGCCTCCAGATAAATCACACTCAGTTAGTTCTAGAGATGTTGCTGCAGAATATGTTAGAGAGAATTGGAGAGGCCTCATATCAAATAAAGTCGCTTCACCTCTTCTAAACTTTATGCATTAGGGGATATTTTCAGTTATTAATCCAACATTAGGGGATAGTATCAATTATGCATCTAAAATTGTCTGCCCTGTAAGTTATTCCTATATATCAATTAACAAGCAGTGCATGGTATGAATGAATAGGAATCTGCTTTTTTAACATCATTTCTTGCGTATTCTATTCAAGCAAGCCACACTTTAATAACCACATTTGCTTGAAATTGGAAAAAAAGAATGAAAACATGTATGTCCTTATTAAAGCTTGATTAAACGGGCTTTGGCTTCTTTGGCCTACGATAATATAAGTTGGCAAGTTTGCAGCACGGACCTGGAAAAGAAAGCAAGCTAGGTGAAAACCTGTATGCCCTCAGTTATTATATTTTGTAAGTCTGAACATTGTACAAAATTTTGATGGTTAATGTTATACTTCTTTTTGTTATGTAAGCTAAACAAAGAATGTAAACTTATAAAATTGTATTCGGTATGGATGAGTTCATATCTGCTATTCGATATCTTGGATAGTCTTGTCAAAATTATCGTGGCTAATTTCTTTTGAAACAGTTGTTTGTAGTTTATGACTTACAAATAATGTGATAATCTTGTCATTAACACTCTTAAAATCACAGCTGAAAAGGTTTTCAAGATATTGGATAATAACAGTCCTCTTGAACACGTTGCAGTTCCAGACTTCCAAGTAAGCTTGGAATCCAATCAAAGTTCAAGTAACTTCTTGCAGTAAATACATTCATATGGCAAGACGGGTTATGTGACAAAATAGGGTAGTAATCTGTGACATCCCACATGTATACATTTACATAAATTGTAAAAGAGGAAATAAAGTTATTGTTTCAAATAAGAAGCTTGCTTTTGTGAATAAAGCAATGCTTCTGACAAACAAAAGTAACTACAGAAGTAAATCTATGATTCATTAGGCAATTTAATCACCTTCAATTGAGCAGTGGGTGCACTAATACTAGCCTAATATCTGATCCAGAAATCTCATTTTGCTTCGCAGTTGCAAGCAGTTCCTCTGTCAGAGCAATCACCTGCATGCCAAGATTTCAGCACAAGAATACATCTAAACAAGATTATATATTAATAAAACAATAAAGGGTGAATTTTATCATATTTCGAACTTAGAATCTCAAGATGAACATCGCAAATCAGGTGAATGAGAAGCAGGCTAGCCATCACGACACATAACACACCTGCAAAGGAATTAGTATGAAAGTGATGGGCAGCTTGCCAAAGCTATATATTTCAGAAATTTCTTTTTCTCACTAAAGTTCACATTCTGCAGCTGTGAACTCTTTTAATATATGAACCACCCTCACCTTTTCAACCCTGAAACGAAAAAAAAAACTCCAACAGTGCCATTACCATTAGCAGTTAATTGATGTTGCTTCTTTTAGCAACATGTCGATTCCTTCAAAAGAGGGAAAGAAGAGAAATGATATTTTCATCACCTTATCAAAAAACTTCACATCTTAAAATACACCCACAATCTAAAACTGACATTTAGATCACTTTTTGGTGTTGGTAAGTCTTGAATTCACTCGAAAGAATAATCAATTATATCTTAGATAAAGTATGTAGAATTAAATATAAATATAAAAGATAAATAAATTATTGTATATAGAAGATATAATAAATATTATATCTTAGATAACAAAAATAATTTACATCTTTTTATTATTATGAATATCTATGATAAATTATTGTATATTGAAGAATGTAAACCTTGTCGATTGAAAAATACAAGAAACCTCCCAGTGAATGCGTCACGTATGAACCGAAGCTAGTTTCCACAATGTAAACATTTAGTTAAATGTTGATGTAAAATTTTAATATATTTTTATATAAATTATGTAAAATTTTAATATATTTTAACATAAATTATGTAAAATTTAATATTAATTAAAATTAAAATAATACATGATATATTTAAATACTCAAGTAATATATTATCAACATATAAATTTTTTATATAAATAAATTTTATTTAAATATTTAAAAATTCAATTGTTAAAAAATATAGACCAATGATAATTTAGTAAAATATACATTTCAGTAATCTTTTATTCCTTCAACCAAACACTGTAATCTTACATTCCTGTCAAACCAACCAAACACAGTAATTTAACATTCTCAGTAATCCTATTCCCTGATAATCTTTTATTCCCACTGGTAATCTTACATTCCGTGAACCTAAATCGTTATCGTGGATTAATTCAATGTCGTTGTTTATGGAGAATTTAAATATGAAATTCAGTCTAAATTTTGTTTTTTTTTTCTCCTTTTTTGATAGGGAAAGGAACTGGGAGCTCTGGAAAGAGAAGAAATAAGACTCATACCCTTTGCGTTCGATGTGGACGCCGTAGCTTCCATCTCCAGAAAATTTAATAATTCACTATACTTAATCATCCCATGGAATTTATGGTTCTCTGTTTTATTGATATCGATTTAAAAGATTACCAAAACCATTGCCGTTTTGTTTGTTGATTCTTTTGATCTTTCGTGTCTGTGGTTACTGGTTATAGTGTAAATTTTGGGTCAAAATTATTATGTCAAGCCATCTTTGATCGTTGTTTGTTTCTTGGTTGAAGATAGCATCCTGGATCTGTGGCTAGTTTATTTTCCAGTCAGTTATGTTTGTTGAAAAAGTTGGATTTAATGGCAATATCGCAATACAAGCTTGGTATACATGTATACATATATGTGTATGTATTGAAAAATTTTAAGCTTTTAATATCCAAAAGAAGCAGCTGAACTTCTTTTGGATATTAAAAGCTTAACTATTTCCATACAGACATGTATTATATATGTATACCAAGCTTGTATTGCCCTTAAATCCCATTTGCTGATCCTTGCTGACTCATGCCTTGAGCTGGCAATTTCTGCTGACCATTCTTTTGTTGCCCTTGATTCGTGACAAAAGATTATTGCTTTTCTTTTTCCTTTCCATTGGTGTGCTTAATTAGAAGGATTTAGTAAGAATTTCTTTCCCATCTATTGAATGAAAGGAAAGAATATATATATATATAAAAGTGTGTAATCTTGTAAATGTTTATCCTCACTTTTCTTTCTCACCACTTAAACTTGATTTTCCTTGCACATTTGAACATTTCCATTCCATCCCTCTACGTTTTTATTCTACTGTGTGTAGCCTTAATCTTTCTTATCGTGGGTATAGTGTAGTTTTCGGGTCAAAATTATTATGTCAACTGTCAAGCCATCTTTGATTGTCATTGCTTGGTTGAAGATAGCCTCCTTGATTTGTTGCTGATTTATTTTTCAGTCAATTCTGTTTGCCGAACAATGGGGTTTTCTTTAATGGTAATGTAAGCTTGGTGGATTGATGCGTCGAATTGTCCTTTGTATTTCTGGGTTTAGATAACTGGAGTGTGAAGGCTATTAGAAGAAAGACTACCGGGACGGGCCGCATGAGATACCTCCGTCATGCGCCCCGAAGATTCAAGACGGGCTTTAGAGAAGGTACTTAAGTTTTTCAAACGTTGTTTGAAATGAAAATGTCTGTTTAACAATATATAGTAATATGGATTATTCTTGAATTGTTAGGTACTCAAGCAACCCCAAGGAAGAAGGCAGCTGTTGCTGCTGCCTAAGTTACTTCTGGTGTTTTCTTTAGATTTCTGAATTTACAAACGAGAAATTTTGTGATTTTATCCAAACATAGTGTCATATTTTTCATCTTAATATCTACGAACAGGAAGTTTTGTTTTATCATGAATCTTCGCAGCATCAGTTTGGTTATCAAACACGATTTAACTTGATTTCTCTTTCGCATGGTCGGATATACAGTTGGATGCTATGTTAAGGCACATTACATTTCTGAACTTTGGAGGAGACATTAATAGAAGAAATAGTCACAAACTTTGAACATTTAGACATCAACTGTCCGATCTTTGTTTTTTTTTTATTTATTTTTAATTTGAATCAAAATGTTACCCCATTGATGAACTAACAATTGGCAAATCTTCGAAGTTGCTGATTCTCATCAATGGCTGACACAAGCAGCATGGATATAACGTTTAAACAAAGTCCAAAACTTTAAAGGGAATCGTTTGTAACGTATACAAGTAAAATAGCTTTTAAAAACTACATTAGCAACAATGCAACATACAAAAGCTTGATTGATTATGGGGGTTATCTTGCCTTCAGTGTTTCAGCCAGTAATTCCGTAGTTGCGCCATATGCAATAGGATCTCATCACGGCCTTGGTTTGTAACACTGCTAGTCATAATCCATGGTGGCACGGATTGGAAGAAACCGCATATCAGCTCCTGAAAGTCGCTAATGTTTTCTTCGGGCCTTTTTCCACCATTCTTTTTCTTCTTCCGCTTGTCACATTTGGTGAATATCAGTGTCATGGGGATCTGAAGAATGAGATCTAACTGGTGGGTAAAACATATAACATCATGAAAAAATTAATACCTATATTTCCATTTTCATTAGAAATGAATGGCGTTACCTGGTTCTGACCTAGCCAGCTGGCATATTCTAGGTCGATTTTCTTCACAGGAATGCTAGCATCTATAAGCAGGAAAACCGATACTAGCATTGAACGGTTGATAAAATAGTCTCTGGTGAACTTGCCCCAGTCCGTTCGAAGTTCCTGAGGTGCAGATGCATACCTGTTCAAGAAACAGCAATCATACGCAAGTATGCAACTGCAAAAGGCATACTTAACTCCTATATAACGGCATAATATAATTTTGATGGAGGAAAACCAAAACAGAGTTTAAAAGAGAATCCGGCATATGGATAACGTTCTTAGAACTTTTTGCATCTTAGTGTCGGAATCCAACTGATTCATCTTAACGAATAAGCCCTCATGGTTTAAAGTTGGAAAAAGTGATTCAATTAAGCCCCATCCCCATATTATTCATGAGAAGGATACATGATTTCATTTTCTTTAGGACAGTGAACATCCTTATTGAAGGTAAGTTTCCAACATTCAAGCGCCAGGAAAATCGGGCGTATAAAGCTTCTAGGCATGCATTTACTCGTACAAGGCTTGAAGAAAGAACAGATTATAGAGGAAGGAAATTGAAGGTAAAGCATACCCATATCCCGGCAAATCCACCAGGTACCAACTATCGTTGATGCGGAAATGGTTGATGCATTGCGTCTTCCCTGCAAATGGTAGGAACTTAAGTACATCACAGACCATAAGTTTCACTAGGAATCACATACATTATTACAATCACACATTTAATTTTATTTATAAAGTAAATTTCTTTCTTCTTGTTTGCTATTGATTACTTGCCGTTATCCATAACAAAAAATTGATCATTGCACGATTTCTAGCTTCTAATATATCCCAAATTCAACAAATTAACATCAACAAAATGCAAATATCTTGCTTTAAAGCATACATTTTAAGTTAACAAGATTCTCCAAGGCAAAAACACTCCGTGAACCTAAGCAATATAACTATCATAATTTGCTTTATAAATAAACTTTACCAGGTTTCTTAGACGTGAGAGCAAGGCGTTTCCTTCTTACAAGCGAATTAAGAAGCGAAGATTTCCCGACATTCGACCGACCGACGAGCGCAAATTCCGGCAACCCATCGGAAGGACAATCCTCAGTTCTCACACTACTCTTCACGAACTCAGCTTGAATCACTTGAGCGTCCCTTGCATACTTACTCAAAACTATGTTCGAACCTTTCAAGATTCTGGTGCTTAAGACAGGATCATCGCAAGCAACCTCGGTTTCCGGGGGAACGAACAGCTTGTCCAATGAAATCTCGAGCTTCGGCTCCTCGGGGAGTGAAAAATCAGTGATGGGTATAGGCTCGGTCGTCGAAACAGTGGAGAAGAGCGTTGGGGAAGTGGGTTTGATGATGGGGAGTCTTGGTTTGGGGAAGAAATTGAAACTTGTCGGCGGATTTTTGAAGAACAAGTAATGGAACCTTGGAAGCTGCGTTAACACCATTAGTGTTTCTTCAAAATCGAACTCAAAATTGATGGATTGTAACTCTGTTGTTCTTCGTTGGAGTAGGCAAAAGCCCAAATGCGGTGAGCTAAGCTAAATATCTTAGCTGATACTGTTTATATTGAGTCGGAACCTCTGCTGTTCTACAGTTTTTCAAGGTAAAAAGATATAGGATGAATATACAAATCGGTCCCTGATAATTTTTCTTGATTTGGTATCTGAATTTCTTTTTTCTCAATTCAGTACCTGAAAATAATAAAAATTTAAAATGACTCCTAATGCTAACATTGCATTTTAATGTTTTTTTTATGAAATTGGTACCTTAACGAAAAAAATATTTTATATTTCTATGTTTGTTTGACAAAAAGAAATATCACATATTTTTTTTTAAATTAAAATATCATTCAAATTCTCAAAGCATCCATAATAACAATATTTTGAATACAAGCAGGTTCCTCATAAAAGAACCAGAAAGGGTTAACAACGTTTGTAAGTGCCCAGTTCGGGAGAGAATGGTCAGCTCTATTTGACTCTCTCTAGATTCTCAGTCAGCAGGTTAACGTCCAGCTTATATTATCGTTAATTATTTAACGAAAAATTACTAGTTTAAAACATAATGAATAGTCAGATGACTATTTTGTAATTTTTAATAGTTGAAGAACTGAATAAAATAACTCATTATATTCGAGAATTATATTTTATAACTTTTAATAGTCAGGGGACTCAACAAAACAATATTCTATAATCAGGTGACCATTTGTATACTTTACCCTTTTGTATTTTAGATTTGAAAAAAATATATAACACTTTAGTTCAACAAATATCTAAAAATATTTGAATTGTTTTTCCTCGTATTTAACTAATGCACTTTAATCTTTCAAATGTAATTGTTAGGAAATGACACTCTTTCCTTTTCCTTTTTTTCCCATTCATTCATACATTCATTCATATCTTTGTGGTACTTATTTTTGTCAAACATAAATACTATCTAGCTATTTTTTTTATATAGATTTAGATTTTTAGTGTTTTTAATTTTTAATGAATATCAATAATAAGTTTATTGTTTTGGTTTAATTTTAAAGAAAATTAAGGATATTATGTTTTTTTTTTTGGTAAATAAAGGAGAGCTGCCGTAGCTCAGTTACTTCGAAGCTTCATCTTGAAGAAGCAAGCTTGATACGGCCGGTGGTGGACTGGGAAGGCAATGGACCTCAAAGTCTGTTGGATTCGCATATTTGGCCATGAAGTCGGCCACTCTATTTCCGTTGCGTGGGGTGTGTTCATAACGCACCACCCATTCTTGGATATGGAGTAGGATATTCGGTGAGCCTTGTCTGTCAGACTTCCTTTGCAACATTCGTATGGCGCCTAAGCTGTCTAATTCAATCTCTACCTGTGTAATTTCTAGATCCTTAGCACATAACATTCCTATGTAAGCTCCCCACAGCTCCCCTTCTAGGATTGAGCATGCTCCAATAAACTTGTAGAATCCTCTTATCCATTTTCCGGTGTGGTCACGTATTAAACCTCCACATGCTGTGTTGCTATCCCTGATGTTTCGGCTTGCGTCGGTGTTAACTTTAAACCATCCTTCAGTTGGAGGTAGCGTACGAGTGGAGTTTTCACGAGGATTGCTTTCTGCAGTGTTCTTTTTCATGTTTTTGGTTGGCCAAAGTTTTTTTTTAATGAAATAGATATTGAATTCGTGTTTAAAAGGTAAAAAAGTAATTGGATTAAAGATTTAAGGTCCAATAATCGTCGACAACGATGATCGATGGTAGCTGACAGTGATCAATGACAGTGTTGAGTGACAATCAATGACGGATGAATTTGATCAAATTCATGAACTAAATTAATATTGCATCTAAAATTTAAGAATCCAATTAATATTATATCTAAAATATATAGATTAAATTATTATTTTATATTTCAAGGATCAAATTAAAAATTAATCAATTTTATTAATATTCCACGTCATCAAATTAATAATATTTAACATTTAAATGATCAGAATGTTATGAATCAATAAATTATATAAATGAATAATGAAAGTAATTAAATTATTATTTTTTTGTTAAATTCAATGGGAAAATGACACTTATTAAACGAAAGTGGCCATGTCATTAGTTCACCATGTTTTGGTGACTATGGTATCATTTATCTGGAGTTCAATTCTTAATTGTGCTTTATAAATAAGGCTAAGTGCTATGATCTTACTTTAAATTAATGTTTTTGCACTTTTTATGTCTAGGATCAAGGAATTTAGTGAATGGGCACAGTGCCTTGTGCTTGAGTTGGTAACTAAATATGTGCGTCAGACAGCAGTGAGATTGTTGACATTATGAATCTCCTTGAGGATAGACTTCAGCATGCAAATGGGGCTGTTGTTTTACTTTTAGCCACTGCCAAAGTGTTTTTACAGTTAACCCTATCCATGACTGATGTTCATCAACAGGTTCTTTCATCTGACTCTTAATCCAATGCGGAAAGTTGTCAATCTCTACGCTGCACAAATATTCTCCTTGCATATTTACAATAGAGGAGGTGTTTTCAGTTAATTTTGATCATTTGATTTGTACGTCGTTATTAGTCATCAATAACTTCGTCAGTGTTGTCTTTAATACTGTGTCGAGTTTGTAATTTAGTCATTTAAGTTATTTCCTCTCATCATTTTAAAAAGGAAATCTCAGCGCTGGTGTCTTTGACCTTGAATCATTATAGACCATACTTGATTGAATTAGTTAGGTTAAATATCTCTTAAATCGTTTGGTCTTGTTTGTGGGTCCAAGAACTTGCTAACAAAATCCTTTCTTTGTGAAGGTGTATGAATGTATCAAAGCACCAATGTTGACCATTGTTGGTTCTGGAAGCCCAGAACAGTCTTCCGCTGTATTAAGTCATCTGCATCTCTTGGTGATGCGGGCACCTTATATATTTTCATCAGACTAAAAACACTTGTACTGTCAGTATAATGAACCATCTTATGTCAAACGATTGAAGCTTGAAATGTTGACTGCAGTTGAAAATGAGAGCAATACTTATGAGATTGGTTGGTAAACAACCTCACACTTGTTTTTAAGGGACTCCGTGGAAAAAGATGACATCAATAAACTCTTAATGTTCCCTCTTGAGTATTCTGATATGTGACCTTGTTGACTCGATTTTCAGTGATGGAATTATGTGAATATGCTGCAAATGTTGATATTCACTTTGCCAGAGAGTCGATTAGGGCTGTTGGCAAAATAGCACTGCAGCAGTATGATGTAAATGCAATTGTTGATAGGCTTCTTCAATTTCTTGAAATGAAGAAAGACTATGTGACTGCTGAAGTCCTGGTAAATAAATATTTATGTTATACCAGTTGTTTGGGATATTAAATAAATGCGTAGCTTATTCTATCCCCTTCCTGCTAAAAGGACTTTTCAGTGCCAAAACAAAAAGTATGATAGTTCCCTATTGCCAACAGATCTATATTGTGATTGTGTGTGTGTTTTAAATAATTCAGGTTCTTGTGACATCTTAGAAAATATCCTCAGTGAAGCCATGATTGCATTGCGGTTGTTGGAAACATAAGCAGCAAAAATGTGCAGGAACCAAAAGCGAAGGCAACTCTTATATGGATGTTGGGGGAATATTCTCAGGATATGCAAGATGCCCCTTATGTTTTGGAGAGTTTAGCTGAAAACTGGGAGGAGGAGAATTCTGCTGAGGTAATTAATCTTCATGAATATTTGTCCTAATCCTATGATTCCATTTAAAGCCCATTTTTTTGACCCATTTTCTGGAATTGGTCCCTTCTGAAAAAAGATGAGGTTGTTTAGCCATTTAATTCATTGTTCAGCTGTCTCTCTTCTCTCATTCCCAATCCCTGTTACTCCTGTAATTGTTTTTCCAATGTCTTTCTAGTGGATATGAGGTGCAGTAAATGTGCTAATTTGATTTACCTAATGACTAATAGTACAGTTGCATAGAAAATGTTAATAAATTTATGTGCTTGATCTCATAAACTTTTTCTGTCTGTTTATGCAAAACACACTCGGTTGCTGGATTATGCGGTCAGGTTCATTTACATCTTCTCAGTGATGAAGTGTTTTTTCAAAAGACAACCTGAGACCCGAAAGGCACTGGGAGCTGCATTGGCTGCAGGTGTTGCTGATTTTTACCTGGTATATATGGATTTTTAAAAAATCCTTTCCCCAACTTTTACATCAAAAGTTCTGTTTGTTTCCTGGACACAATCAATTAAACCTTCAGTGTGACTGCAGGATGTACATGACAGAGCCTTGTTCTACTATAGGATGTTACATTATAATGTGTCTGTAGCAAGACGTGTGGTGAACCCACCAAAGCAAGCTGTTTCTGTTATTGCTGACACTCAAACCAGTGAAATTTAAGGATCGGATATTTGATGAATTTAACAGTTTATCTGTTGTATACCAGAAGGTAACTACGAGCTTCTTTCAACTTCATGTCATACGACACATTTTCTTTATTTAAAGCTGATCTGAAAGCTCGTGATGGGTTTTTAAAGCATCCAATATGTGTATTAAAAGAGGAAAATGTAAGGCAAAGACAAGCAGCGAGCTCAGGAATTGATGATCTACTTGGTCTTGGTTTACCGGCAGCAGCACCTACTCCATCTCCTCAATTGAAGCTTAATGCAAAAGCTGCTCTGGATCCAAGCACATTTCGGCAGAAGTGGCGCCAATTGCCAGTTGCTTTATCACAGGTTTGTTTATTAATTTCTCCCATTGGTTAAACTATTAATGAAAGTTTCATACTTTTATATACATAGCATCCAACTATCCTCAAAGCTTTCCGGTGAAACCTGTCCATTTCATAGATGGTAATGGAAACCATGACTGACCCATAAAAGAGCTTTATTGATATATGCGAATAGTTGCACCTTTCTCATAACTCATCATGCCATTTACTTGGTGCAGGAATATTCGGTAAACCCTCAAGGTGCACTGACGCCTCCTCAAGCTCTTATTCGACACATGCAAAGTCATTCCATCCCCTGCATCGCATCAGGCGGTCAATCCCCGACCTTCTACTTTTTCTTTTTTGCACAAAAAATAGAGTCGTCATCAAATTATCTCGTCGAATGCATAATCAACACATCATCGG